GCAGGCAGAACGCACAGCAGAACCATGCATGAAAGTGGCTTCAAGAAGTAAAAGCACAGCTTTTAAATGAACTGAGCATTTGAAAACCTTTTTCATTTCAGACTGTCATGGGCTCATACCTGAAGTACCCAGTACTGCAACAAATATCCTTCCTTTTCCCCATCTGAACAACATACTACAAACACGACTATTAAACCTCCTTGAACCCAGCAGGTAGAGAACAATATATAGAAACATGATTTTTCCCACCCAGCTACCAGTTTTCAATTACTAAAACAGGCACTAGTGTAATTTCCTGTACCTTCTGTCTCTAAAGAAGCTTCATTTTCAGTACTCCAGGCTGTGGTGTTTCCCTCTCTGTACTTTTTCCTGTCAGGCTGGGAGCTCAGAACTTTAAGTTACACAGGTGCACCCATTTGATAGTTAGCACACCTGGTTTTAAGCAACCTCAGGCACAGATAACTTAACAGAGGTGTGCTGGTGCTCAGTGTGGGGCAGATGCCTCTGGGTTTACTCAGGATCTGGGCAGATGCATAGCCCTGTGAAAGGTTGCAATGCTGCATCAGTATTTGAGCAATGCTCATTCACGTACTTCTCTGAACTCAGTGCTGAGATACCCTTCAATACCTTGCTCACGATACACAGACCAGACCGAAGCATAATGACACCTAAGCAGTGGTCTAACTGTGGTCAGGGTGCACGAGCTCAGGAAGCAGTTAAAGCTGCCACAGCCATCCAGCAATGTGCAGAGGAAAGACATGCAGGTGTATTGTAGAAATGCCCATATAAAGTGCTGCAGCCTGTGCAATGAAATACTCTTCCTCTGAACAGAGGGGTAACAAGTGGTGATAATCATACACAAAATCCCTGCTCTAATATCAAAGGTTCCAATTTTGTTACAAAAAAATCACAGCAAAAGAGAAAACCTCAGATCATCCTTCGTGAACCAAAAAAAGCTTGCCTTGTCTTAATGTTTCAGTTACAGAAATGTTCCTGTCGCCATCCATAGAGAACAGAGCCCCGCCACTCACAACACGCCAGTGGCATGTGTCAGAAGTTCTGCTGCACAGACAAGAAGGCACAGTGTAAATTCAGCAGATTTTTCTCTTATGTCACGTCCTAGGAGGTAGATGAACAACCTAGAAATCCAGACTTATTCTCATAAAGGACTTAAAGTGATGCCAACCTACAGCTGAAACATTTGATTGCCATATCACACCGGCCCTGTTTAATATCTTTATTGATAATCCAGACAAGGGGATTGAGTGCAACTCAGTAAGTTTGCAGGTGACACCAAACTGGGAGGAGGCATCAATCTGCCTGAGGGTGGGAAGGTCCTACAGAGGGACCTGGACAGGCTGATCACTGAGTTGAGGCCAATAGGATGAAGATTAACAAGACCAGGTGCTGGACCCTGCACTTAGATCACAACAACCCCGTGCATCGCTGCAGGCTTGGGGCAGAGCGTGTTGCTGGCCTGCAATACCTTGGCCTCCCAAGGGGCTTTTTCCACCAACAAGCCTAATGGCTGCAGCCAGCTGTACTGCAGAGCAGAATGTAGACAGCAGCAGCACTGATGCAAGTTCAGAGAAGAGTAAGGCAGCTTTTTCAGAGAAGGGTCACTGAGGCAGTTTTTCCACTCTACAGCAGCAGTATGGGAGACCTTTCTAATACACAGGAACCACAATGTCCTGTCAGAACATTACCATCAGTCTCTCTGTCTGGATGGTTATAAGCCAGACCGCTGAGAGCCCACCCAGCAGCAGTGATAAGCAGCAGATATAACATCTTAAGCATCTCTGCAGCACCCAGACTTCTGTATTTTTACCACAAAGACCACAACATTTATCTCGAGGCATTAAGTTGTTTAAGAGACTCTAGCTGAAGACAATAAGTTACTATTGAATATAATTAATTATAACCAGTTATGCCTCTCTTTTTGTTCCATGAAAGTTGTGCCCTCAGGTCCAAGTGTTAGAGCTTGACACTGAATAATAGCACTGGGAGAACAGCCCATCTCTGCCTCCAGCCACATGAACAAAGACATCTTGTTAACTTGCCATGATCATAATGGTAAGATTTACCAACAGATAAGAACCAGGACAAGAGAAAAAATGATTTAAAAAATAAATAAATAAGTAATGCTTTCAAGGATGGATCTCACCAGGCTTGCCTGAGAAGCCTAAGATGCAAAGCCTCAGTTTGGACTGCACATTTAGTTTCTGTGAGCTGAAAATTTCCTGGAAACTCTCCTCTATTTCCTATTCTGGAAAAGAAAGAAATGGCACTATTTCCTATCTATCTCTGCATGCAACATTTCAATTCACAAAGCCACTCATGCAAGAAAGAAACATACAGCCATCAAAGGAAGGCTTCTGGTTTTCATTTTAGCCTTGACAAGTACGAGGAGCTATAGTCCAAAGGCTGTTAAGAGTTTGTTCAATGACTGATCCCACTTCCAGGAGGCTCTCTACAAGAGCTGCACTTCGAGCATACTGGCATACACAAATTAGAGTAGCAGAGGTATCCACAGAGGTGTTACAAACATTTCTTAATATATTTCTTTCGTGGACATTTGGACATGGATCTCACCATCTAGTCTTAAAAAAAAATAAATAAATGCATAAGAACATAACTGTATACTTTAAGTGTCATCTACCTACAGACTAGCTGTCAATCATGGCTCTAATCATAGATAACATATTGCAAGTACAAACCACGACAATCTAGCTTGTCTGAGAGTTGTAAGGCAGTATGTGTACAGAAAGAGCACGTCTGAAAAAAAGAAAAAAAAAAGTTATCCTGCTTCTTTTCTAACAGAAAGTAGCAATAAAGCACAGTGCTGGCCTTTACTTTCCCTCATGGTTGCCTGGAAGTTGCAGGTGCTCCATCAGCTCCCAGCACGGAGCAGGACTCTGGGATGTGGACATTCAGTTCTTTTCTCCATCACAGATCACTTGTTCTGCTTAACAGCCTCCTTGTGCTCTTCCTTGCCGTCAGATTTCAAGCACGTATGAGAGGAACTTCAGTGGAAAGGTTAATATGCTTTCCTAGGTTAAATTTTACTTAACCTATGAACTTCACAAGTGCTAATTCACATATGCTGGCTGCTCTCTCCAGTTTTGTGAATAACCAGAGATTATTTTTGATGGGCCCCCCCACTTCCTGAGAGCTCAGACCAGGCAACTCACAGAATCACAAGGTTGGAAATGACCTGCAAGATCATCCAGTCCAACCACCCTCCCATTCCTATCAGTACCACAAGCTAAACCATCTCTCGTAGCTCCTCATCCAGGCGCCTCTTGAACTCTGCCAGGGACGGCGACTCCACCACCTCCCTGGGCAGCCATTCCAGTGCCTGACCACCCTTTGCGAGAAAAAATTTCTCCTAATATCCAACCTAAACGTCCTCTGGTACAACTTCTGGCCATTTCCTCGGGTCCTACTATTTGCCTGGGAGAAGAGGCCAGACCCTTTTGCACCACAGCCTCCCTTCAGGAAGTTGTACAGTGCAGTGAGGTCTCTCCTGAGCCTCCTCTTCTCCACACTGAACAATCCCAGCTCCCTCAGCCGCTCCTCATAAGACTTGTGCTCCAGACCCCTCACCAGTTTCGTTGCCCTACTCTGGACACGTTCCAGGGCCTCAATGTCTTTCTTATAGTGAGGAGCCCAAAACTGAACACAGTACTCGAGGTGCGGCCTCACCAATACTCCATAACTCCATACTGATGGAGCTCCCTCAGCCACTTCTGACATGACCTGTACGCTGCCTGTCATTTCTTTCTCTGCCCCTCATGTACTGACCTTGCTCAGCTGCCTCTGCTTTATCCATTCCTGTTTGGTAAACTCTGAAACTAGATCTGCAGCTCTCCGCTCTGCCCCTTGGAACTGCTTTGCTCTCAGTTGCATTTTCCATCCTTCAGCCCCAGAAACGTGGCAGAGGAACACACTAATAATCTGATACTGTTCTCAGCCTTGCAGCTACTGGAACAGTCTCGCTGCTCTGCAACACATCTGCTGCATCTCCTTGATAAATATGTACCCCTCCAGTGTAGAGACAAAACACAGAACAACAGTAAAGGCAACAGGATAACCCCAGAATACTGTTCTCTACCTTAGATATGAAAAATTTACTTCTTTGCCTCCCAGGGAACCTTTGAGTCCGTGCTGCACCTCCCCCTCTCCAACAGCCAAACACTCAGCCCTGTCCTCTGACTGCTGCTGAGCTTATTTCCCCAGCAGGTCTTTCTGAGTAGTTCATTCACCAACGCTTGGGTTAATTTTGAGTGTTTTGTTTTTCTACCTCTTTACATGAGTACAATTAAAGAAATGTCACACTGTGTGTCACACTCATTTCCTTCAGCTATGTTTTGCTTAGTTTTATGTACACTAAACCAAAGAAACCACCTCCAATGTTTTCTTTCACAGCTTTTTTTCCCCTCCTCCCCACAACTGCGGTCACGGTTGCACTGCAGCATTGCTACAGAAACCTACTGTTAAATATCACTTTGCTTATCTTGAAACTTCATACAGCACCTTTCTGTAAATGTAGCTCTTTTCTTCTAAACATCTACGCTTCCCCCCTGCCCCCCTAACATCTGAAATCTTTTATTCACACAACGCAAAGATGAGTTCAAAAGACCAGTGGAGTAAGGTGCTGTTATCCCTCCCCAGCAAGCATGCTCTGGAGGAAAGCCTCTGCTACAACCTTAACACTAGCTCCAGCAAAGCCCTGTCAGATCCCATTTCACATACTTGACATTTGAGGTCTTACTGTCCAGACCCTGTGAACATTTTAAAGTATTTCACTGGTGTGACTCTCAGCTGGAGGAAGCAACCCAAATAAACTAGCAGATCTTACAACAAAACACAACAGACCACAGGGACTTTAGTTCCTAGATTAGTATCTGTAGGGAATGGCAATGGCAGATAACCAGTTCTAAATTATCCAAAAAAGGATAATGGTCACAATCCAAATAAATAAAGAAAAATTTGCCTACCTGTCCCAAGAATCAGGGCTCAACAAGTATTCCAGAAGGAGGAATCCTTCTGGAAGTAAGACCTTCCCCTCATGGCAACCAGCTCTTAAATGATGTTAGAAGGGCTGGAAGCTGGTTCCACTCCTTCCAGTCCTGCAGATGAATTGCTTTCACCTGTGCTCCCAAGGCTGGCTGTGTCCCTTCACCAGGTGCTCAACCATTAGTTCAGGCCTTGACTTAGCAATTCCCATACAGTACCTAATTTGTACAGCACCTACACTTATGCATGAGCTGAGCTTGTCAGAGATGGAAGAACCCATTCCTCTCTGACTGACAGCCATGACAGTTCTCTCCATGCAGCTCTGGGGTGCGCAGAGGAGGGTGACAAGATGCTCCTCTCTTTCCTGAAGAGGCCTTGGGGTGCGGGGAACCAGAACCCATAAGGAGACATGGACCCCATGAGGGCTGTGCTGGCCTGGCCACAGGACCCCGCAGCTGTGCCCACCTTGAGAGCAGTGCTGGCAGCCACTGTGCACCCAGACCCCCTCATCCACAGCCATCACTGCCTCATGAAATGGCCCACAAAATGTCCGCCTGTCTCAGCTGCTCAACTGTGGGAACAGGAATAGCAGATTTATTTCCAAACTTTGCCTGTTTTCCTCTGAAATCTCCTTCAGCACTCCTGCAACAAGGAAGGCAAAGACACAATACATACATTAAACAGAGCCCACAGTGGCAGGATGCCATCTCCTGCTCTAGATCTAGCAAGTGCCATGGTTAAAGGGCTGTCCAAGGGAAGAACCAATTCCTCCCCAACACCATTTGACACTTTTGGCATTTTAGGAGCATTGTCTTACCTGCCACTAAAGGTCTGCATGAGTACACAACTTTCAAAGTGTTTTGCTGTGTTTAGTTCAGTGATGAGCAATTTAGTGCTATTCAAAAAATAAACAAACAGAAGAGACTTTGTAGATAAAGAGGAAAATGGTTATCATGCTTTATTTGAAGTGCTGGTAGGTGAAAATTTAAAACAAAAAACAAAAAACCCCTTTGTTCCACTTTATTTTAAATTATAATCTACACGAAACAGTCCATTAATTATCTAGCATTCATTTGCAAAATACATAAAACAGTTCTTAATGCATAAAACAGAAGTAACAGGTAACTGTAAAACCCCGGGGCGCAGATCGGAAGCATCAGTTTATCCACATGACAATTGCAGGATCTGCAGTCAACAGACACTCCTCTGCACCAAGGGAAATCCAGACCCACCAGACATTTGGATGAACAGATTTCCCCCTTGGATCTGGTGCACAGCATTTCACGAGTGACGTTTAAAGGAAATGACCTTTCCCAAGCAGCAGGTTTGTCATGGAAGACATCGTGTGCCTGGTTCAGCACCAGCTAAGCACATTTGTGAATGGCAAACCAACCCTTGTCCCTCAAAAAAGAAACAGACACATCAGTAAAGAAAGACCCTAGTTCTAGCCTGTCCTCAGATGCCACAAGCCACTCCTGTCAATCCTGCCTCTTACTCAGGCAATTTGATATTTTTCTGGGCATGCAAAATTGTAAACTGTCCTTTGCACTGTTGACCCAACTCCCCAAAACCCAACGCTCCTGAGGACAACTGTTACCTTTCCTCAGCTGTGGAGACCTGTGCTTATCCCTAATAAGGGTTCCAAGCCATTACCAGCTAAAATGTACAGCTGATGAAAGTTTTTTGCTAAACTCTCCCTTAAGAGTGATTTTGGATCAGACTCAGCTGTGCCCAGGCTGGGATGCTGGCATTACTTTTATCCCAGATTAGTTAACCCTATATTTTACCATCTAAAGTCACCAGCCTGGAGAATTACAATCTGCTGTGTCATTTTTAAGGCATCTTGATTTGAGCCAACACCAGCAAATCACATATTTCTGCTTTCCTACCAAGACTATCCTTTCCTATCATGCACCAAGTCTAATCACTTCGCATGTCAACACGGTCCATATCTCCAACAAGGCCACTAATTTAATAACTACAATTGAGTGCAATTTTATTGGACCGTTCTGATCTTTGAAGAGCTAAACCCATACATATCCAGCCCTTCACTCCTAATCTACTCTGTTCCCAAGTTTCTGAATTCTCTTCAGAATTCGCTTTAACTTGTGAGTAGTTTTATCTACCAGAGCTCTTGAGCAGACTCACACAGACATTTATGAAAGCCATACTCCATTCATAAGTGAATCTATTGCATATTGTTAGTCAAACCTCTTATGGTCTTATGGTCTTCCTGAGCTCAGAACCAGACTTCTCAAGCCATCACAACTTCCCCATAACGGTTACCTATCAGTCTAAGAAACAATCTCACATATTGCCTATAGCCAAATGCACACTCCAAAAATTCTGCTTCCCACACCGTGCTGCAAATATATGTGCAAATACACGTGTCTGCATCTTTTCTATACATGAAAAAGTAAGAGGTATTTCACAAGCAGTCAAAACAAGTAAAAACAGCTTTGGAAATAAGGCAGATTTTTCCTTCTGCTAAAGAGGGTAGGTAATAGCATTTCTTGTTCAACTACTACATCAAGTTGCTAAGGCAGCTCTTGGAGACACCTGAAAAGGAACAGTCGATCCACGTGTGGTACCAGCTCACAGCAGCTTAATTATCAGCTGAGTAAGTGTTAGTTCTGACTAAGGTGTTGCTTCTAGAACTGAAAGACATGTCTTCATACACTACATTTGTTTTCTTTTTCTGGAAAAATTTCTTCTTCACCTGCAAAACAAAGCAAGCAGCCATTAAGAAGAGAGCTTGAAATGGAGCCAGCTTATCTTCTAGTAGTCCAGTTGCTTGTGAAAAAACATGCTGCTAAACTTCTCTTGGAATACAATGACATCTTAGAGATTTATGTGGAAACATGACCCAATCATTTCACTCTGCATTGTCAGCCTTATGCAATCCTGCTAAAAGTTCCTTCAAGATTTGGATGTAATTGGAGTCCCAACATAAATAATGCTTATCTGTAAATTTTTGTTCATTACCAATGCAACAAAAGATCAGCTCCCACAGCCTTGATTTTTCCACAATGATATAATGCTACCATTTTTCACTGTTCTGAAGCTACAAGTACAACACAAGAGTCTGACCTGGGAATTGACCCTGACAACTGAGTAATGTTTATGGAGTGTAAAAAAACCCCAAAGTGAATTAAAAAAAGAAGAAGAAGAAGAAGAAGGATGTAAAAATATCTTAGTGAAGTTTCTTGTCACGACTGACAACAAATCAACAGAATAGAAAACAGAAAACAGAATAAAGAATTGCACCATTTGGGGAAATAGATAAAATGCATGGTTGTGTTATTGACTACAGAACTTACCCAGGTTTCCCTGTTGAAAAGCAAACACTATCTCATAGTTTACTAAATGCTACAGAAACATAAGAAAACAGTATTTACCTCCAAAAACTTACAGCTAGCAGACATTAAGCAAGGGCAAGGAGGAAAGAAAACAAAACCTTAGGTTTATCAACTGTTTGCTTATTCAATTGCTATTTAACACAATACTTTTGGCTGTAATTGAAAACACACCTATTCACTCAACCTGGATTCAGATTTGCTTTTTGCATGGTAACAGCATACTTACATTGACACTGTTCAAGATGTAGAAAATCACTGCAGATAATAGCAGCACTCCTACCACAATGGTAGGAGTGTAGATGGCCAAGGAACCGATACTGCATTCTGTCTGCTTCCCACCTGCATGTGGAATTGTATTAGTAGTAATATAAAAATGAGGAGAGGTAGAATTTTAATTTTATTATGGAATTTTCAGGCTGCAAATAGATCTTCACAGCTCATAACATCTGTATAAACCTTTGTTTAATTGCTCAAAGATCCCATCAAAGTCCAGTGCATAAACTGCACAGGTAACATCAAAATCAAGCGTTACACTGCTGTTGTCATCTTCATCTTAAAAACAGATACAACACTAACCTGCAGACCTGGCTCTGTAAAATATGCTTACAGGTTGCTCAGTGTATAATAAGAGATCATCTTTGTTATCTTTGTTGCTTTAAGTAAATGCCTGAGGACTTGTTTTGTACTTCCTAGCAGAGACTTGCTACAGTGAATGGTTTCTAAGAGACATGAAGCCCCATTAAGGTGATAGAACTGATGCTCAAAGCACCGATTCATTTTCTTAAACAGACTTTTCACACAGTGGAGAGATTATTGTCTGATTTGGACCTTTTCTTTGTTAAGATAGGTGATGATGGACAGTTTCCCCTTTTAAAATCCCCTTCTGGTTGTTCAGTGGCAGGTAGAAGCATGGTGCTTATTTAGGACTTGGAATACAACAATGCAGGGGAGTCCGAGTGCTTTCCCCAGCCTTTCTACCTGGCTTAACTAAAGTTCTGCAAGCTTTTACTCTGCCTTTTGTTTTCTAGCATGCCTACAGTTATTTATGGTTAAACAAACAGTACCTTTAACCAGCACCATGGTGCCACTTTCATTGACAAAGGGAGAGGAATTTTTCAGCCCTGCAGCACATGCGTATACGTCAGTGTCATTTTCCTGTAGGTTGTGCAGAGTTATCACTAGTTTCTTCTCTTGCTTTGAATACTCCAGGCGATTAGCAAAAGTGGGAAAAATAGTTGTAGTGTTCTGACTCGATACATAGAACACTTTTTCAGGTTGCATGTGAGTCTTGAGCAACACGACCCATTCATCTTCAAACGAGCTTTTCAACACACAGGTAATGCTGATAGACTCTCCTTGTTGAGCACGGACAGACAGTGGTGACTGTTCAATGACCCCATTGGTTTTAGCTACAAAAAAAAAAAAAGAGATTAATGGCTACCACAGAAACACACCACATTTTAACTAAGGAACAAATAGAGAAAAAACAAAGCACAGAAATTTTGATATATATATATATTTTTTAAGGCTAAAACTCTGCACACTTTCAGTATACTCCATACTTTTTGATGTTATCATTAACAATGTAGACAAGGGAATAAAAACAACTCATCACTTTTGTGCAAAGATAACTCTGGAAAGGTTGCAATCATTTCAGAGAAGAGGTTC